AATGATTGTGCACATTCTAGGAGCAATAGTGCTAACCACATTTGCAGGTTTACTTTCGTAACCTCCAGCATAAATTGGTTGTCACCTTGTAGCCATCGAAACCCCGTAGATAAGCGGAGGTGAGGTACGCCATTCTCCAGCTCAGTCCCCAAGCAGAGAGAGGTCCACGACGATGCTCCTTCCTGAGGAGCAGGGGAAAGCTCTAACACGAGAGAGAGAAGACCTGAAGGGAAAGTCTTACCATTAATGCCTTGCATGGCAGATATCACCACGTCTCCTTAAACACATGGTCTACATACCAGCGCTTCATAGTACTTGTAGCCATGGCCAGCAAAAGTGGTGGGGCGCAACGGACACACCATTTCTTTCCTCCATCCTTCTCCCTGGGGAGAATTGCATACCTCTAACAATAACTCTGATGGCGTCTCACAAAACAGGAGCATATACCTGCCTATGAGCCGCCGGACCCTTACAGCAACGTCCATTCTTCTCACATGGCCTTCGGCCTCCCTGCGAGGTGTAGGGACGCCTGCAGGGTCACCTAGAGGACAAACAAGAGAAATATGATATTAGGTGAAGCACTGATTACTTACCACTGAGGTCCCTTGCATCTGGCCCTCGCCCTAGCCCGGAGAACAGCTCAGCCCAACAGACGACACTGCAGCAGAACGACGACCCTTCCCCAAGTCCTCCGGCCATAGTATTTTAAATCCCATCCAGCACACCACCTGTGCGGATAGAAAACATAACAGCAAAAACATTACTGGGAATGCCCTAGCTAGCTTGCAGCAACTCAGCCAGGAACCATCGTTGGGAGATGGTTTTCGTCCATAGAATTTTAAGTGGGAGGACTCGTCAGCTGGCCCCACTGCACGTAGACTTGGAAGCACACCTTACTCTCAGAGGCAAACAGGACTCTAAAAGATTCAGGGACACAGTTTAGGGACAACAATTCCCTTTTAGGACACAATTTTGGGACAATCACTGTCAGGGAGGCAGAACACTTCCCAGGATATGCATTGGGACACTGGAAGTTACTAAGCAATTTGGGACGCAATTCTTAAGACAAAAGATCTTGAGGGACAGAGGTGAGAAAATATCTGGTCATCTTAGGATCCAATTTGGGACGCTGGAAAGGCCACAGGGACACAATTTAGGGACAATAACTCCCTTTCAGGACTCAATTTTGGGACAATCGCCCTTCAAAGATGGTGTGGGGTACCTAAGACAAAAGCGGCGGTAATAAGAAATACTACATAAGTCAGGGAGGCAAAAGACTTCCCAGGGGCATCCCAGGATATGCATTGGGACATTGGAAGTTGGATTAATAGGGGATATCCTAAGCAATTTGGGACGCAAATGCATACATACATACATGCATACCTGCATAAGCATGCACGCATGCATACAAATGCATACACACGCTAAAGACGCATATACATGCATACATACATATACTTGCATATACATGCGTTTATGCATACACACGCATATACTTGCATATGTAGAAACGTCCACTGGGTTTGCCTCCACTCAGCCAGGAGCCACCTTCCAGCAGATGGTTTTCGTCCCTTGCTTTTATAGTGGGAGGACTCATCAGCTGGCCCCACTGATAGGTGCACAACAAAACCAGAGGCAAGAGAGGACAGAGAGGACCAAGCTAAACGTAAGAGGACACGAAAAGGACATTAGCAGGCTCAAAGAAAAAAAGGACACACATCAGAAGGGCCATGCATTTGCACACATACTAAGAAAAAAATGGGGATATCATTACACAAAAGGGACACTAGGAGGAGTTTTGGGACAAACCTTTTGGGACGTCATTCCCAGGGAGGGACACTAGGATAACGAAAAAGGGACACAGGGAAATGAAAAAGGGACGCCCTGGTGATCATCGGGACGCATTTCCGGGACAGTACCGACGGGCGAAATTGGGATTTGGGACCGGGACACAAATTTAGGACAGAAACCACATTTTGGGACACACTTTAGGGACAGAACCAATAGCCCTAGCCCTACTTAGTCTATGAACTTCAGTTGCAGCATTCCCTAGCCCTAGCCCTACTTAGTCTATGAACTTCAGTTGCAGCATGCCCTAGCCCTAGCTTCATGTATCCCATCCCTATCTTGTCTCCCTTTTCTTTTTGTACCATCCCTTTACGCCTCTTTTATTAAATTCGCATGATTTTTTATTTCTTCTTACATTATACATGCTGTGTAATTATGCCTGTAATTATTGATATGATTATGCTCAACGAACTGAAGAATAACTATAGAAATTGTGTTGACTTCTGTCAGAACCTCAATAGGGTATCTGAAACGCTGCCACATACAAAACAATTCCGCAGCTGGTTCTGCCAGAGTATATGGGGTCCATCTGGGAGTTAACCAGGTTTGTGGATATGGTGTCCAGACCAGACAGGCATTTTATCGATTGGACTCCCTGATTCCAGCTGTGGAGTTCCAACAGCCTCCAAAGGTCTTGGTTGCTGCACTGAACGCTCACACTGTCGCTGTATGTGGTGACATTTACTGTGCCGTGCATTTTTTCAATGTCAACTTCAAGATAATCAAAAGTTATACATGGTCTATATGGAATGGTCGTCTACTGCAGTGTATAATTTCTTGGAGGAGAAGGGCTGCACCTGCAAAATAATTGATGTAGGTAGTAATGATTAACAGAGCTCTTCTAAAGTAACTTACATTTTTCGCAGAGTTGCAACGTGCTCTTCTCTAAAAATTGCCGACCTAAAAATGGTATGCCCAATGTCGACTATTTCTAGTCGTTGAGGCATGCCCCTTTTTAGCAAAGTAACGTCTTTTACAGTCAGTACTGTATTTTAGTATGGTGTGTTGTGGGTCAATGGTACTTTTTGACACCGATAAAACCTCTTCTCCATTTGTTGTTCCTAGTGTCAATTCCTGCAAGACCTATATAATATAACAATGTTTAATATTGTGCACATTCTAGGAGCAATAGTGTTCTAACCTCATTTGCAGGTTTGTTTTCAAATTTTTGTATAACCTCCATGATAAATTGGTTGCATATTATTGACCTGTAGGTGAGAAAACATACACCAGTAACACGAGAGATAAGACCGGATGTTTCTTACATTTCATCCTGCAGAGCTGCCCCGCTGGCTCCTGGGGTTGCTGCTTCTGTGAGGGAGGGAGAGTGAGGGGGAGAGGTTGGACAGGGAGAGCTGGGGTGGTGAGGCAGGAGTTGAGGAGGGAGCTGCCTTGCAGAGAGAAGGAGAGGGAGGGGAGGGCTAGGGCTAGGGCTTGGGCTGGTCGGGCAGCTGAGGGAGAGGATAAGAAGTGTACCATCCAACGGTCTCTCTCAGTACAAACATGATAGTCCAAAGTCAGTACACCAATAATTGTTAGTTGCTCACTTTTGTTTGGTGTAGCTGCTGCCTTAGGTATTTGATCTCTTCTTCTACTTGTCTGAACAAGAGGTCACAGTATTAAATCCCGAACTGAAGTTATCCACCAACTACTTAATAAAGTCTCACCTAATTTTCCTGTGGTACTCCTCCCACTCCCTCTCCTTCCTCTCCAGCTGGAGGGTGAGTTCTGTTTCAAAGAAAGCAGTAACATTAGTGTTTGTCTAATTGAGGACTGTCTCAACACCACAGAGTTTTATACAGGTACGGGTTCAAAGAGTGAAGGGGTGGGTACCTTTGAATGTAGCTGAGGAAGGAGTCAGGGAGGTGGAAGACTCTGAGGGGGGAGATTCAGTAGCCGGGGAGGAGGGAGGTTCTGGGTTTCCTTCTCCTCCTGTAGGAGCCAGACGCCTCCTGGAAATTGTATATGCCCCTGTTAATGTTTTTGTTATCTGTTTGTTCGAAGTACAGACAGTGTCATGACTCTTGGGCAGGCCCATACATAATCCCTCTAACTTCCCAGGTTCGACTGTCCAGATCCCAGTCAGGCTGTTGCATTGCTCTAGCGGTGCAGTTGAGCCATACGTTTGCACGTCACACGGGGATTGATAAAAACAATTAACATAATAATACGGAATCACCTTATTTTGAAAGGCACAGTGCAGTTTTCATCTGATTGGCCCCACTTTTTCACTCATTGTTGACACTACCGCCACAACGCACCTAGCTAAGAGAAATATCACCTTCCATAATACACTTACGATGTTTCAGGTGTTGGCATTCTTGCCCGACGCCAAAGAGTAGCGGGAGAGAGTGTGGTCATATTGTCCGGAGTAGGGCATTGTTTGGGGTGCGGTTGCTGCTCCTATGGAAAGAGATTTTTAACGGGAGTTAAAAAACTCAGCAGTTAGGCGGCACTTTGTCCATACCTACCTATGAGCAGCCGGACCCTTACAGCAACGTCCATTCTTCTCACATGGCCTTCGGCCTCCGTAAGGGTCACCTAGAGAACAAACAAGAGAAACATGATATTAGGTGAAGCACTGATTACTTACCACTGAGGTCCCTTGCATCTGGCCCTCGTCCTAGCCTCAGCCCAACAGAACAACGACCCTTCCCCAGTCCTCCGGCCAGGAACCGCCCGCCAGTTGGCGGGCGATTTTCGTCCATTATCTTTAAAGTGGGAGGACTCATTGGCTGGCCCCACTGCGCGTTGTCCACTGTATGGGGGGGAAAACTGCAGGACATACAACTGGAAAACCGGAGGACAACAGGGTTGGGGGAGGACATGGGAGGACTGTCGAGGGCCAAGGAGTACATGGGAGGACCTGAGAGAAGTCGGAGGACGCCCAGAGGACTCCCACGGCCTCGGAGGACGAAAAAAGGACATATTTTTCCCTCGAGAGGCCAAGTAGAGGACAATGTCAGGGGCCCTAGCCCTAGCCCTAGCCTAAGGACAGGGATATATCCCCAAGGGCCTTTTTCAAGGCAGGGATTTATCCCTAAGGCTAGGCCTAGTCCTGAGGGTCATTAGCACTTGATCATGATATGGCCCTTGCCCTAGCCCTAGTCCTGAGGGTCATTAGCACTTGATCATGATATGGCCCTTGCCCTAGCCCTAGTCCTCGGGGTCATTAGCACTTAATCATGATATGGCCCTAGTCATGAGGGTGAATTACACTTAGCATCCCCTAGGACAGGGTATATGTCCCTAAGGACAGGGATATATCCCCAAGGCTTCTTTCTCATCCCTAAGGACAGGGATATATCCCCAAGGGCCTTTTTCAAGGCAGGGTTTTATCCCTAAGGATTGATATAGAGTCCCCAATGGTTCCTTTCCTTGGGGTTACATATACTTAATACCATAAGTGCCCTAACCCTAGCCCTCGGCCCTCAGGGTTCCCCCTCAGGACTTGGTCTAGGGATGCCCTATCCCTAGGGGTTACCTATGCTATAAGTGCCATAGCCCTATCCCTAGAGCTAGTCCTGAGGGGGACTTATACTTTGAAGTATTCTTTCCCTCGTTCGTAGTTGTGGGCGTTGCCTCGGCGCGTAATGCAACTACCGCTTGCACCGCAAGCTTACCAATTTGTTACATTATCAATTGATACGATAGAATAATCCTGTTGGTTGATAGCCCTGAATATTCCTGAGGGTCAATGGTGGACCACTCAGGCTTGGCTTTAGTACTTTCGGAGAGTATATAGTAGTTGTGGGTGTTGCCTCGGCGCGTAATGCAACTACCGCTTGCACCGCACGCTTACGAAGTTGTTACATTATCAATTGATACGATAGATTAATCCTGTTGGTTGATAGCCCTGAATATTCCTGCTATAAGTGCCATAGCCCTATCCCTAGAGCTAGTCCTGAGGGGGACTTATACTTTGAAGTATTCTTTCCCTCGTTCGTAGTTGTGGGCGTTGCCTCTGCGCATAATGCAACTACCGCTTGCACCGCAAGCTTACCAATTTGTTACATTATCAATTGATACGATAGAATAATCCTGTTGGTTGATAGCCCTGAATATTCCTGAAGGTCAATATTGGGTGGACCACTCAGGCTTGGCTTTAGTACTTTCGGGGAGTATATAGCAGTTGTGGGCGTTGCCTCGGCGAGTAATACAGCTTGCACCGCACGCGCTTACCAAGTTTTGACATTATCAATTGGCAGGATAGAATAAAATGTAGTATGTAGTATGAAGATAAGGTGGTTTTAGTTATTGGGTTTTGTATCCATGGGTTCTTCTTCCTTCCTGGGTGCTATCTCAACAGGCCTCAAGTTCAGTTTCTCCAAATGGTGAGTTTGTTCTTCCTCAGGGTGAGTAGGCCTCAAGTTCAACTCCGTCATCCTTGTATCCAAAAGGTGAATTTGTTCTTCCTCAGGGTGAGTTTGTTCTTCCTTCTCAACAGGCCTCAAGTTCAACTCCGTCATCTCCGCCACCAGCCTGTCTCGTGCCAACTATACAAATAAAAACATGAGTATTCTGAACAACTTGCATCCATACATTGTTTTCACTACTAACCTTCCTGTTCCTGTTGTACAATCGGTATGTACATCCATATATACTTCCAAAGCATTTGCATACGTCTTCTGCTGTTAAAACGCCTGGACGGTGAGCGACACAGCGGTTTTCGATATCCCCGTGAGAGACAATTGTGAGGTGGACTGGGGGATTGTGTACTCTTCTGGAGGAGGGAAAAGAGTGACTATAGCATGTGTGTTTAAGCAATGAATCATAACATGGTGTTGAATGGGTTCAGTGTTCAGGGGATGTGAAGGTTCTTTGGGGGTTGGGAAGGAGAGGTCTCGATAATAAACAAGTCTTCGGGTCGGATGAAGTCGGCTGTAGAACGATGATGATGATGCACTCTCTGGAGGTCTCTGGATTTCCGAGGAAACACTTGGATGGATCATCCCCAAACTCTTCTCTCTTTTATACCCAAAGCCCGCAGGGTAGCTTACTACCCTTCCGCACCCTCGGTATAGCCCTCTTTAGCCCTCAGGGATAGCTTACTATCCTTCCGCACCTTTAAGTAAATGAGGATTCCAAACCTCGCATGCGTATTCTAGACATGCCGAATGAGAGAGATATACAGCTGCAGAAGATTTGTAGACGATGTGTGAAGGTAGAATGTTCTGTACAGAAGACTAAGCATTTTCTTAGCTCTGGTACAAAAACCATGGATGTGCTTACTCCAGGAGAGATCAGATGTTAAAGTAACACCAAGGTATGTGTAGTGAAATACTCTAGCGATAGCCTGTCCATTAAGAAACAGAGCAGGGGGATGTATTGTATTTCTTTTCCTTGTCACAATCATAAATTTGAATTTTTCGGGGTTGAAGGTTAGCCACCATTTACATACACAGGAAGAGTAGTGGCCCCAGGACTGAACCCTGGGCAACTCCAGAGATCGCATGAATGTCAGAGGAGGAATCTCCATTGATCACAACTTTTTGGATTCGATTGGTTAGGTAGCTACATATCCATCTCAGTAGAATGGGGTGGACATCCATCTGCTGTAGGACTGACAAAAGACAACGATGAGGAACAGAATTGAATGCTTTTTGGAGGTCTAGAAAAATGGCACAGACCTCCTGACCTGCCTCTAAGTGTTTATGCCAGCTATCAGTGACAGAAAGCAGAGCTGAGGTAGTTGATCTCCCAGAAAGGAACCCCCACTGTGACTCAGATATTATGTTTTTCTCCATTATCTGGTCCATCAATAGGTGTTGGACATGCTTCTCTAGCAGTTTGCTTAAGATAGATAAGAGAGAGATAGGTCTGTAGTTTTTAGGGTTTGCATTATCTCCTGGCTTCGGTATAGGTACAATGTTAGACATTTTCCAGAACACAGGGAAGCAACCAGATTGAATGGATTGATTTATAAGTTTTGCAACCGAAGGTGCGATACTTCTAGCCACGGGTTTAAGCATTCTAGCAGATATCCCATCAGGACCTGAGGACTTACTAACATCAAGAGTCTCAATTTCATGCTTAACACTCTGAAATCTCTCCATGTGACCCGCATTATATGTGTACATCCTCATAAGAACTGCGTTCACTCGGCAGAAAATGTGTGTTACTCATATCCCTCAGACTCCAGCTTCTGTAGCAAGCTTGCATTCAGGATCCATGACTCAGTCCCAAACAGAAGACATGGTAGAACACAGTGTTCAACTGTACTCTTTGATGAGAGAGGATTGAGTGTGCCATGAAAAACACCGCTGCCTCTTGCAAAAAAGGCTCTTCTGGCTTTATCAATGTTGCCCTCAATCCACCTCAAGCAGGACAAAGAAGGAGACCACAATGCGCCCAGACATCTGGCAGAGGTGGTTAGAGGGAACTGTAGGTCCCCAGCATCGCTGTGGGTCATGTCGGCTGGTATTGAGGGAGAAATTGAGGCTTCACATTTGTCGACATTCAGTGTGAGGCGTTGTGATGTGGCAAACTCACTGACGACATTGATCTGGAGCTTACAGTCCGTGATGTTTGTAGAGAGTGTGCGAATGTTGTCCGCATGTGGAAGGCACCCAGACAGAGACTGCAAACACTTGGACCACATGATCTATTCTTGAGCTCGAGGAGGATGGGGTCCATGACGAGTAGAAAGAGGACAGGGGAGAGAACTGAGCCTTGACGGACCCCTCGACTGACGGCGAAGGCAGGAGAGGTTGTTCTTCCCACACGGACAGATGAGTGCACTGTACCAGTCCTACATGGGCGCCAGGCCTTCCCATGCATGCCGAGGGTTAATTACAGAAAGAATGAAGAGAAAGAATTGTGAGAAGGGCTGCTGGGGCTTCACTTGTACGCCTTTGTGAATAACATATCTAAAAATAAGTCTGTAAAAATATATACATGCAGATGGCAGCTGATGGGCCATGGTATCACAAGCAGGTCTTTTACACACCTGAGTGGGGACACATGTGTACAGGACCTAACATGCAAAATGTTTTGACTCCACATACATCAATGTAATGTGCTAGTTGTAGAGCACAATACAATAACCACAAAGTTACACACCCAAACCTTCCATAATAATTATGAATATATTTTGTGGTATCCGGACAGACCTAATTGAAAACCTGTGGCCTAGAGTGACGTATATACCTCAACCAAGGCAGCAGTATAAAGGCCCCACAGCATCTACTTGGCTCTCTCTCCAAAGAGCCAGCTCTGAGACTGAGGTTTGTTCATGTGTGTAATTTAGCTTGTTTGAAGAATGCAAAAACCGGAACAAGGTATTATTTGTGTAAATGTGACCCACATTATATGTGTACATTCTCATAAGAACTGCGTTCACTCGGCAGAAAATGTGTGTTACTCATACCTCCCTCAGTGATCACCCATGGACAATTGGAGCATTCCACATCTGCCTCTTCCCATCTTGCTACAGCCCAAGCCTACCCCCACATCGCCAAGCAACTCACCCCCACCCCACCCATCCACCAAACCCCGACCGTCTACCAATCCCAGCAAACCCTGATCTCCTTACCCACCTACCCCTCCCTGCAACCCCCCATCAGCAAACCCGCATCTACCTCTCCCAGCAACCCCCCATCTACCCCTCCCAGCAACCCCCCCCCGTCCAGCAAACCATACCCCAAATCCCGATCTCTGTACCCACCCCGATCCCCGTACAGCTCACCCCTGTCCCTGTACCTGTCTACCCCTCCCAACGTGTCCCCTACCAATCCCAGCCTGTCCCCAAGGTTAACGTGTAAAATTTACATTACCATTGTACACATATGTACACTATAGAAGTCAAAGCCTACTGCCACCTCCACCATCACCTCCACCTCCTCATCCTCCTCCTGGCTGCCAGGGTGGTTCACCGGCAACTGATGTAAGTGTGTTGTTTTTTACCTTGAGTCTAGAAATAATATTCCCAGAAAGTGGTATACACAAAGCAACTTTCAGAAATGTTTTCCCTATCACTCACTTTTAAATCTTCCAAAAGCGGTCCAAGCAGCTGTGAGCCTGTTTCATACAAAAACATGCACCTGATTGTAGCCAGTTGCTTAGCAACCAAATATACCAAATATACACCGCGCGCGTGTATCGAACGGGGAAGTCCCACGTTCGGAGGCTGGCTACATAACAATGCTCTGGGAACCGCACCGCTTTAGTTTGCCCGGCCGGAAACGCTGCTGAAAAGAGGCGATCATTAGCCTGCGTTCTTTCTCCCCCCGACTTACGGAGACGGAGGTGAGATTGCAAAACTGACGTTTAGCACCAAGAGGCAGATCAGACCAGTGTGCATGCTCGCACGAGCAGCGTAGTTTTTTATCTCCCTCATATACCCCTGTCTCTAGATGGCGTCCAACTCAAATGACAAAAAGCCAGACACGGAGGACTCCGACTCTGCTGGCAACGCGCTCTCCTGCGCCACCGATGATGCTGCTCCAGAAAGACCGCCAGCTGGAGGGCCCCTGGTGCCGACTGACGATGTAAGCTGCCCGGTGGATCCGGTTCCGGACCCGGATCCCACCGTATTTGCACTCCTGGACGACCATCGCGTCCACGGGGCCCTGGGGCTGCCGGGGGCGCCCGTAGGACCCCGTCGAACTAACCCACATGCCTCAACTATAGAATTTTCTTTACACATGATGGAGGAAGCATGCAAGGGGGCACAACTGCGCTACTCTGCCCATGGGGTGGTGAAGGACTATGGGCCCCCTGTAGTATACCATCCTGGCATACTACAGAAGCTCAATGAGCAACAATACGGGGCCGTACTGGCTGCGCTTATGGCGTCTTTCACAAGGACGAGGGCAGCTGGCAACCACGTGTCGAACTGGTCGATGGCAGTACAGGCTGCCCATCTGAACCCTCTGGGTCACCTTTACGTGTCAAGGAATGGCAGGGTGGAAGAGATTCAGGAACTGCAAATATGTGGTGCATTTTCCCCATAGATGCGAACCTACTAGTAGGACCATCAGATCTCATTGTGTATAATGCGCCATAATTATCATGATGTAGCTTGTGTTTTGGCTCATCATGTAATCTGTGTCCCTATGATGTACCCTCCCAGCTATGACATCATAATGATTGTAATTAGTCAGCCATAAGTCAGAGGTTGTTTTACTGAAGTACAAGTGATGTTTGTATGTACATGTATCTGTAGTTGCTTAGTGTCCCATGCTGCTGAGGTTACATTTTGAGGGATTGTTCACATGCTGTGGAGGAGCTGCGTGATGTTGCCAAGAAATTAGTTGCTTTTGTGAGGCAGACTGCAATGTCAGCTGAGTTGTAGTAGTATCACATGAGTAGACATCAATCAGATGCAGACAGGGAACCAGGGGCTAACATTCCTAGTGGACCCAGGCACACACACATACAGGGGGGAGGGGGGGGGGCAAACAAACTGTCACACCTACTCTACTGATTTAATTTCACTATGTAGCCAAGTGACTATTATAACAGGGCCCATGCAGCGGAATTTTATCATGATGTCATGAACCACATCTCTATAGCAAGAGTGGAGCTGGTAACACAAATTTTTCGATAACATCTTTAGACCAACAAATTGATGGGTAGTATCTCTGCTAAGGAGGAGTGTCTGGTAGCTATAGTTATATCCTCTGCTCCACTAATATGAGGCCCTGTCTATTGAAGTCTGCAGACTACAGATGGACTATGGATGCGTGTGACGTTGATTGGTCGTTCTGCAATTTGATTGGAGACCTCGATCTTGGACCAACAATTATTGTTTTCCCTTGTGGTACTCATGTGCATGGAAGATTCTTTGTGCAGTAAAAGACATGGAAGGTATATAGAACAGAGAAAATATGTTGTATTGTACCTTGTCTGTGTATAGTATCATTTATGTATTTACCCTATGCCTTTTCCAAGTCTTCTTCCCCTCTATCCCACCCCTCCCTGAGGGGAAGAATGGTTACAACCACACTTGTCCAACTCAGCAACCATGTGACCACAGATAGCAGGCCCCCTTTGTGAGGTCCTTCCCAAGCTTACTGTCAAGATTTGATTGGCTTGTTTTTCTATTAGAGGAAACTAGTACTGCACACTGCACCTCAGGGGTGGAGAATGTGTACACAGCAGTAACATGAGTATGATTAGCATCAAAGAATCACAAGGCAATGAATATTTAGCACCCATAGAGATGAAACTTGATACTCAAAGTTGCTAACCATGGCACACATGGAGATGAAACTTGGTATATGCAGGCTTTCTATTGTCCAACATTTTGGCGCAGATAAACACATTTACCAATCAGCATATGAAGCAGCCATACTATATTAAGAGGATAGGTAACAGGACACACTTCAAGTGCCTCTCTGAAATAGAGCACACACACACACTAAAATACTAGGGAGAAAAGATAAGAAAAAATGGCGTTGCCCGGGAATCGAACCCGGATCTTTTGCTTAGAAAGCAACAATGCTACCATTACACCACCAACGCATTTTAAAAGATTAAAAGAGAGAGAGGTAGTATATAGGAGGGAGCAAACAGCATCAACACACCTGATCAGATAGATCTGTACTTGTAAAAATAAAGAGCAGCAGCTGTTCCATGAAATAATTCACGCAGACACACACACACACACACTAAAATACTAGGTAAGAAAAAATGGCGTTGGCTGGGAATCGAACCCGGATCTGTTGCAACAATACTACCATTATACCACCAACGCGTTTTAAACAGAGAGAAGTAGTAGGAGGGAGCAAACAGCTTGGGGCCGGATCAACACACCTGATAAGAGCAGCAGCTGTTCAAAAGGATCAAATCATGCAGACAAGAAAGATAGGCAGTGACTTTAGTGAGTATACATTTTACAAATTCTGTAGGTTTTACAGTAAGAGCATGCAAATATTGTGAACAATGGGGATTATACATAATACTAAGGCATTGTGAAGCACCAATACACAAAAAGCACAAGGGTGCATTATAGGCAGTAATTTCGAACCTCAAATCATGAGCAGCTTGAGAAACCCCAGTCTCTGTAACAACATAAGCCGCCAGTCTTGAAAATGTAACTAATGTGATGTCGATGTTCTGCAAAATATTCTGCAGCTAATATATATCAGATGGACCAGGACATATTTCAAGACAGACAGCCTATTTTGCTGATGATTCTTTGACTGCACTCTCAAGGTAATTAGATGGTTGGCAAACAAATAAACAACAATGTATAATACTTGATGAGGGACAGGGAATGAAAGCGAATGTGAAAACATTTTGTCACGAGGGAAGATGTACAATAGGAAGTTTCCAGTAGAGAGTAGCTTGGTGAGAACAAGTGATGCATACATATTGGTGGTGGTTTTATTTATTCTCTATCTATCTATCTATATATACCATGCTATGAACTATAATTTCATACATGTTGTAAGATGACACTCTCCCTGTAGAATCTGCAGAATGAAACGACGATGTCATGGGGTCCAATGTCGTAAATAATCAGTAGATGAAACTACAAATGAAACATGAAAGACCTAGAAATAATACATCCCACAATAGGTAGGGTATGTGTTTGTTTGGTGAGTACACCTACACACATGACAATTTCTGTCGAAGTACAGTACCATCTAGAAGATAACTTTGGAGGGAGAAACTTGTGACCCATAATCCCCATAAAATATAAGTGGGGACATTATTACTACTGGAACAGCAATCCACAAATTTCAGGGAAATTGCCATTTATAACTGAAATGCTGAGGTTTTCTTCCTCGAATATTACCTGCTATACAATATTCACCACAGATAATGCTAAGCCAATGGGTATGATGAAATAACATAAGAAATGCGTAGAAAGTTTGGACTTTCGAGCAAATTGCAATTGGGAAACACCAGTGTCTGTTTCCACATATATGTCGTCAGTTAAATGACACTGACATGGACCAGCAATCAGCAAGTTTTCTCCGCGAAATTGGCGTTTGCAACCTAAACACGAAAATAATACACGGAATAAATAATTGGCGAGCGGGAGAGCCAACCTAGTCGTTCGTTCGAGCGGATTTTTCTATCACTAAGTACGGTAGTACTTAGTATATAGGGATTGGCATGGTACCTAGCATCATAGATGTATGGGGCTATGATAGGGAATTTTGTTCATCTTCTCCTCCTTCTCCTTCTTCAGATTCAACATCCATAACTCAAAAACGAAATAATAAAGCAATGAAATTTTGTAAGAATGCCGTCACCCGAAGAGACTTTCTTTGTAAACAACATTGTTTACTGTAAACAACAAGAAATAGCCCCAGGCAATACAGTCAGTATAACTCACAAATGGTAAGAGCTATGTGAACGAAACTTACTTAATGTATTCAATTACCAACATCAAAATCACAACAATACCTGTTTGTAAACAACAACAAATAGCCTCAGGCACTTTTCTTTACTCCTCAAACTTTCCAATGGTAGCACGCATAGAGATGAATCTGGGTATGTATGCCTATTGTATCATTCCCATGACAATTACATGTTTCCATGACGACTGCATTTTGTTTGAAAAGCATTTTTCTTTAAAACCACCTCAAACTTGCTAACTGTAGCACACATGGAGGCGAAACTTGGTGCGCATGTGTATTACATCGTTTCTATGATGACCACAACAACAAATAGCCTCAGGCACTTTTCTTTAAAATTACTTCTCCAGTGCTGCCAAAGTATCGGATTTGATCCGATTAAGTCGGATTTTAGGCTGTCAGACACGTAATCGGACGGATTTTTGTCAGAAACGGGAATGTTCGGATTTGTCACGTATGCGCGCGCACCCCCGGCCGTTTTATCATTCATTGAACTTTGAACTTTATAAAGGCGATGACAGATGTCGCTCGACTTCGAAGAGACTGCTTCTGCTGCTAGCAGCAGTTCGAACCCGGTGCTCGAGGAAAGCGATGGAGACAAAGACGCAGGGTTGAGTAGTGACATTGATTTACAAGTCGATGCGACACCGCCTCCAACAAAACGTAAGAAGTATGCTTGTATATTTCGTAAGGAACACGAGAAGATTTTCCCCTGGGCTGCGCAGTCGAGTAAAGGTCCCAGTTACGCCTTCTGCACGAAGTGTAGCCGTGATATCAATTTGGGTCAAGGGGGCACTAAAGACCTCAAGCGACATGAACAGACAAGGTTGCATGGGCGGTGTCATCGAGCTAGTTCAAACAGTGTGAGTCTACAGTACCTACTCGTATAATGTCGGTAGTCGAAGCGGAGGTAAAGTTTAGATACATGTTGGGTGAGCATCATCTCCCTTTCTTGCTAGCTGATCACTGCACTAAACTGTTTCAATCTATGTTTCCCGATTCTGCTATTGCCAAAAGCTTCAAATGTGGTCGCACAAAGGCAACTGCAATCCTCAAAGTTATTGCTCAGGATGTCTTACAGCATATACGGGAAGTCTTGCAAGACTCTAGGTTTTTTAGTTTGCAAGTAGATGAGTCAACTGACATTTCAGTCACACAGCAGATGGCAATCATGTTACGTTTTTTTGATAACACAAAAGGATGTGTTCGTTGTGTATTTTATGCACTTGAGAGTGTAGAGCGAGCAACTGCCGAGAACCTTTTTCAAGCAATCAATAAATACTTCCAACTTCCTTTAACCTTGTCTTATAGTAATCTGGTGGGCTTAGGTACTGATGGTGTCAATGTCATGCTAGGTCGACGGAACTCTGTGTTTTCAAGATTACACGCACAACAACCATCTCTGGTAGCTGTGCACTGCAACTGCCACATTGCTGCCTTAATTGCAAATGGTGCTTGTAAGGTCCTCGAAGAGCTTACTACCGATGTTTTTTATTATTTTCAGAAGAGCCCAAAACGAATAAGAGAGTTTGAACAGTTTCAAGCATTTGTTGAGTCGAAACCGTAAGCTTCTTAAAGCCTGCCAGACTCGATGGCTGAGTTTGGAAGCTTGTGTAAACCGTCTAATTGAGCAGTACGAAGCCCTTTTGTCTTACTTTCGAAGTACAGAGGATCGCCTAGCAGCAGTCCGAAGGATAAGAGCTGTGCTTGAAATGCCCCTCACACGGGCATACTTGTTATTTCTTTCCAGTGCTCTCCCAATAATTTCAACAAGCTAATGCAACGAGAGTCACCTGTTTTGCATGTCCTCCAACAAGAGTTGGATGGTTTTGTACGCAAGCTTTTACTGCGGTTTATGCAGTCTGAATGTGTTCTATCTGCTTCCAGTGTTGTTGAAGTGAGCATAGAAAATGAGTACTACCTTCCAACAGAGGAGGTGTTTCTTGGAGATTCCACTCTAGCGTATATAGAAACTACTGATGAAAATCACTTCTTCCAACCTGAAAAGATTTAGGGAAACATGCCAATCTTGGTGGTGTACGGCAGCTAAGGAGGCACTAAAACGGCTTCCTATTGACCACACTCTGCTTAAAATATCCAATGGATTCAACCTGGTTTACAACAGTATAGCCTATCAAGCCAAGTACAAACTACTGCTAAACTTTTACCTCAGGTTATCAAGATTTGTTTCCTAATGGAAGAGTTTATGGACTATTGCATTACTCCACTTCCTTCTGATGTTAAGTTCATAACAGAAGTTGATCGATTTTGGCATGCTGTCAGTAAAATTCAGAATCTCACCGGAGTTGCTCGCTACCCGATTTTGACTATATACATTGGCTAAAGCTGTCATAGTGATCCCCCATGGAAATGCAGATACAGAGCGGCTCTTCAGTCATGTTGGACTAAACAAAACAAAGACGAGAAACAGCCTTTCGATATCAACTCTCAATGCTCTTTTGATGATTCAGTTTAATCGGCAACAGAACTGCTTCGAATTCAAGCCAAATGACGAACTTCTTCCACGATGCAAGAATGCTATTCATGAGATCTCTAAGTAACACCTTTTCATTTTCTGTATGACAATATGCCATTATTAATGAGTTTTTAATGAAAATCAGTATCGTTCCATGCATTAGGATTTCTTAGGATTTTATCTTTGGTTACAATTAGGATTTCTAAATATAATCTTGGGATGAAGCATTGCTCCTAGTTGGCAGCACTGCTTCTTCACTCCTCAAACTCGCTAACTATAGCACGCATGGAGGTGAAACTTGGAGCGCATGTGTATCGTTTCCATCACGACCAGAACAACAAATAGCCCCAGGCACTTTTCTTTAAAATTACTTCTTCACTCCTCAAACTCGCCAACTGTAGCACGCATGGGGGTGAAACTTGGTACGCATATGAGTAACATCGTTTCCATGACGACCACAACAACAAATAGCCTTAGACACTTTTCTTTCGAACTTCGTCTTCACTCCTCAAACTTGCTAACAGCAGCACACATGGAGATGGTATTTCCATGACGACAACAGGCTGGTATTTTTATTTTTATAGGGGCTTGCCCCCTTCCACGGAGATAAATAAAAATGAGTGGAGACAAGTAAATAAAAAATCCTGCGAATTTAAAAAAAGAGGCATATAGGAAAAGAAAGGGAGACAAGATAGGGATGGGATACATGAAGCGTGGTTAATGAACAGATTTGAGCACGCTGACACCCCAACCCCGACTCCATCACACAATCCCTATATTGTTGCCTAGGTGAAAGTATTAAACATTCACCATTACAATATATACTCAGAACTTACAATACACTGAGTAATATAGAGTCCAAGTGGAGTTTAAAGGGAATGTGGCAGTATAAATGTTACAGGGAGACGGTGAAAGAATGCTTGCTTTTAGTAACCTTTAGCTCCTATAAGAGTAGCACACCAGGCAACAATATAGGGATTGTGTGATGGGGTCAGGGTGTCAGCATGCTCAAATCTGTTCATTAACCACGCTTCATGTATCCCATCCCTATCTTGTCTCCCTTTGTTTTTATACAATCCCTATATGCCTCTTTTTTAAAATTCGCAGGATTTTTTTTATATACGTCCGTACGTTGTGTAAGTGCGTATGCGTGGCTTCGTACACACTTCTTTTTATCGGAAATTATTTCCTAATTTTTACAATACGCATATAACGGCGACAGGTAGATCTGTCTTGCTTCACAAAAGGAAAGCTGTGCGCTGACGGCACGTTATACAGCCCGAACATTGGGTCGCTCCTGCTCGCCAACAATGTTCAACATTTCCACTAGTATGTGATGTGGCCATTGTTCTTATAGAGCAGGGAATGGATACCCACCAGTGAGTGGTCAGTGTCAGAAGAGTGTTTGTAGGGTGGGCCAAGTACGTAGTTGTAGCAATATCCCTGGCAGGACACACTCCTAGATGACTACATGTAGTTGGTCTGATAGACCTAACAATACTAGGTACAAAATATGATGTGCACATATGCAGGGCAGGAATCGAGTGACAACTAGGCTGTGATAAAGCAACCAAGTTCAGTTAGTGAAACAATCACACACCGCCTTCTATTAGCAGAAAGATGCAAACATAAACAAGAAATGTTTGCAGCTTCCCTTCCCCCCGAGTGACACAACGAGGAGGTTTAGGCACATCGTGGGGAAGTACCACTTCAATATACACTTGAATGACTGCCCCACAATGTCATCACTCATAAGCGGATTCACACTGCACAATAATTATGTTACCAATCGTGCTGTTATGAACAGTATATACACACGTGTTACGTAGCTCAAGTTCACACATAAAACCCAAGTGTGGAGAAACTCCGAGCAACAGATGCAAACATACCTGAGTGTGGAGAAACTCCGAGCAACAACTCGCTCAAGTTCACACATAAAACCCAAGTGTGGAGAAACTCCGAGCAACAACTCACTCAGATGCAAACATACCTGAGTGTGGAGAAACCCCGAGCAACAACCAACAACTCGCTCAAGTTCACACATAAAACCCAAGCGTGGAGAATCTCCGAACAACAGCTCACTCAGATTGAGCAACAACTCACTCAAGTTCACACATAAAACCCAAGTGTGGAGAATCTCCGAGCAACAGCTCACTCGTGTCCTAACATACCTGAGTGTGAAGAAACCCCGAGCAACAACTCGCTCAGGTTCACACATAATACATAATACCCAAGCGTGGAGAATCTCCGAGCAACAGCTCACTCACGTGCAAACATACCTGAGTGTGGAGAAACCGCGAGCAACAACTCGCTCAGGCTTGTACACGCAACAGCACAATATATATACATTTTACACATCTATGGTGAGTGAGCACAGTGATATTTGAAATCAGAAGCCTTTCTTTCCAAAATCCTAAACAATTGAGTCAGATATGCTTGCTCACCAATAAGTCGTTCTTTTCCTTCTTTGAATTTTAACTTTTATGATGTGCATGCATGCCCCAAAAATTTAGCTTACTTGAAAGAAAATTTAACCAAATGAAATAAACCAGCTATATGGCATGCATAGTGAGCGCAGTGCAGTGGCACAGCCTTTGCAATGAGTAAGATATGCAACAGTGGTTCTGGAAATGCACATGAGCATACTCTACCAGTCATTCAGGTGCAAACATACCCGAGTGAAGCAACCCTCTCAGGTACCACGTTGTTTCACACACCTCTTGCACTCCCAGTGGACCTCAGAGTCCCCAAACACCTCACAGGGAATATCCATGTAGTGGTGGTGATACCAGACGTGGCAGGAATCACACTCTGCAAACTTATCATCCTTTTTTTCTGGCATGCGACATGACCAGTGGAGCTCCACTGTCTTTGTCTTTCTCTGGACACTCTCTCTGTCACCCAACACAGGAAATCGAGAAACCTGGCAATTCTCAAGACATGTTATCAGATGTGGCCTGATCTTACTGTGATCAAACCTAACACTGCAAGGGTTCAAGCCACTGCATACGTCAAATGCATAGGCTATGACCAGAACCCCGCAGTCAGAACAATTGGTACAACTCTGGGAGCCAATGATAACTATTACCAAACTTTGCGTTCATGTTAGCTTGAAGCAGCCCGATATTGGTGGAAACGTGGTAGTGAAGCCTCTCCAAGTATATATCTTTGGACCTAAACCTGATCAATACATTGTGAGAGGCTTCAGCTGCATTAGAGTGGCCACGTTTGAACGAGCTTGCTGCTCTCTCTGTGCACATACAACAGTGCATGAAATTCACAATCTAGCTTCATTCTGGTTTTGTAAGGCTTTCCCTCACACTGTATTTGTTGTTTGTCCCTACACTTTTTGCACGAACAGACCCGAAGTGGGTGGAAGTCGCACCTTCCTCCCTCCCACTCGTGAAGGCAGTGCTTCCAGGCGTTTCACAAATTCCTCCTGTGACTGAGCCTCCATCAAAATAGATAAGATAAGATTTGTGTGCTCTTTGGAAATAGGTGGATTCATGCACCCACATGTAGGACTGTGGTTGCCCCCCTCACATTTACAGCGCAGCTTACCAAGAGCAGGAAAAGTATCGTTGTACTTTTCTATCATCATCTTTGACATCGTAATTGAAGAAGTTTCTTGTGTGTACGCCAGTACAGTAATATTCTACCACATTTTTACCGCTACAAGTAATTATAAGTCATTCTACCATGTGTTTACTGAGTCATTCTACCTTGTTTTACATTAATTTTTTGAATGTTTGCTGCAGAGGGCATTTTTGAACGTTTGCTGTGCTTGTTATGTTGGCAGAGTAATTTTTACCAGTGAGTTGGTAGGATGTATATAAATGCACACACTACACATACTGTACATACCTATGACATCCACCATTCCCACAAAGCAAAGAAACAGTGAAGACATATGCGAAGAAACCCACCCATGGAGGTCAACGAGTTGCACAGCATGGGATTGGTTAGACCAATATGCACAGAATCTAGGAGCCGTAATTGACTATTAGAGTAATTTCCTTTTACAGACCACTTTATGGGACTATTTCCCTTCTATCCAGAATGGAAGGATAGAATGGAACGAGTCTATAGAACAAAAAAATGGATGGGCTTCTGCAACATACAGTCATGAGAAAGTTATTGATGGTCTGTTTTACGTACCACCCAGACGCCCTAACCTACATAGTCCCCCAGTGACACCCGGTAAGTGCATGGAGCAACAGCCCACTCAGCTTCCACCTACAGAGTGTGCAGAAACTTCTAGCCGCTCAAAGACACACAAACAAACAGCGAACACAGTGGAATGACTTTTGAACTGCTTGTGTGCATGTGAGCCCTAGTCTCGTGCATGTGCTCCGGCACGAAAGAGTAGTTGGTTCTGCTGAGTCGGAAAACGGGTCAGCCAATCAGATTGTATTATAAAATCACTAAGTATGGTAGTACTTAGTATATAGGGATGGGCATGGTACCTAGCATCATAGATAGATGTATGGGTTCTCCTTCTTCTTCTTCAAACAACACAAAGTAATGAAATTTTGTATATCCGTCACCCGAAGAGACTACGTTGTTTACTGTAAACAACAACAAATAGCCCGGCCAATACATTATAATGGGATCACATGTGTCAGTATAACTCACAAATGGTAAGAGCTATGTGAACGAAACTTTGTACACATAATAATATTCAATCACCAACATTAAAATCACAACAACACATGTTTGTACCTCAGGCACTTTTCTTATTGACTTCTTCACTTCCCAATGGTAGCACACGTAGAGATGAAACTTGGTATGTATGCCTTATATATCATTTCCGTGACGATTACATGTTTCCATGACGACCGCAACTGGGTGAAAAGCCTCAGAATAATATTAGTTCTCACTCCTCAAACTTGCTAACTGTAGCACGCAGGAGGTGAACTTGGTGCGCATGTGTATTACATCGTTTCCATGACGACCACAACAACAAATAGCCTCAGGCACTTTTCTTTCTTCACTCCTCAGACTCGCTAACGGTACCATGCATGGAGATTAAACTTGGTACACATGTGTGTAACATCGTGTCCATGACGACCACTAAAACAAAATTAGTTCACTCCTCAAAGTAGCACGCATTGAGGTGAAACTTGGTGCGCATATGTATTACATCGTTTCCATGGCAACCACAACAACAAAAAGCCTCAGGCACCTTTCTTTAAGATACCATAAGACATTCAAATCTCGGCAAAAAGCGGCTCAATCAACTCCTCTCTCAGGTCTCAGTTCAACCACACCGCTTCCGATGCAGAACCAGCGAGAAACGGAGTTTGTATTTCTGCTCGTATGACTTGCGTATGCTCAGTAAGCGCCGCAGCTCCTCAATAGACCGAACGTCATCGATGAATATCAGTAGCAACGTGTGGCACGCGACTCAGCTTCTATGAATGACGTACGGACCAAGGACACTGAAGGTCATACCCAAAAGGGTGTGGCACTACCTGTGCGCATGTGCATGAGTGGACTGTCAGAGCTAGCGCAATGCGCGTGTATGCATAAGCGAATTGGGATGTGTGAGGAGCGCGGCGTAGCGGCGAAGAGGAGAGTGGATGCTGAGAGTCTATTTTCCAAAATATATTGTCATCTCGGTTCTATCATGTCGAGTAGTCTAGCTCCTTTTATACAAACAGGACAGGAAAAAGGTGGTGAACAGAGCGTAGACTCTGTGACATGGTGATGGAGACAGAGCAGTGACATGCAATCTAGGATGGGACAATGAGGTAGGTGAAACCAGAGGCGGGCATTGCATGATGTGGCCTTAGTGATGTACAACAGAGTGTGATCAGACGGGATATGGAGAACATAGTGGAACAACTCAAAATAACTCAAAAGGGCGACAGAATGCATATCAGGTGAAATCATCGGAGCCAGCTACTCTCTATGTACTAATATGGTGAAGGATTGAGCACTAATCTAAACCTAAGTGTCACTAAAATCAGTTACCGGGAAGGGCAAGGAAAGCAGGGTTGCGAAGTCCTTCACACTCCCCCCTCCTTATCCTACGACGAAGTCGTGGGGTCGTCGTCGGCGAAAGCCCGAGAGAGACCGTCAGCGTTGTTGTTAGCAGACCCGGCTCGGTATCGAACACTGAAATGGTATGGTTGGAGTGCCAGACTCCACAGCGTTAGACGAGCATTGTTATCTTTGAGCCGGTCAAACCACTCTAGTGCACGATGGTCTGTCTGAATAGTGAATTTTCTCCCCAGCAAGTAGACACGGAACGTGTGTGTGGCTGCTTTGATTGCGAGACACTCCTTCTCTATAGTTGAGTACCTCTTCTCCCGGGGTAATAGCTTTCTGCCGTAAAAGGCTACTGGGTGCTCTTCCCCATTGTCGTTCCTTTGGCTTAGCACAGCACCAATACCCACTTCGGAGGCATCTGTTTGTAGAATGAACTCCTTCTCGAAGTCTGGGCTCCTTAGTACTGGCTCTGAACACAGTCGGTCCTTCAACGTCCTCAACGCTCTCTCGCCTTCTTCTGTCACCTTTACTCGATGAGGGGCGTTCTTTTTCGTCAGGTCGGTAAGTGGAGCGGCTATCTCGGCATAGTCCTTGATGAACTTCCTGTAGTACCCGGTTAGACCTAGGAAAGCCCGTACGCGTTTCTTTGTCGTAGGAGTCGGAAATTCCCTGACGGCATGCAGCTTCGTTTCCTCAGGGCGTACCTGTCCGTTTCCAACGACGTGTCCCAAGTAAGAACAGCTGTCCATACCGAACTGGCATTTCTTCGGTCGTATCGTGAGCCCTGTCCTCCTGAGCTTCTGCAACACATCGCTGATATGGCGAATGTGGTCCTCCCAGGTAGTGCTGTGAATGACCACATCATCCAGGTATGCTGCAGCGTATCCAGTGCAATCAACCAGGAGCTGGTCCATCATGCGCTGGAACGTTGCGGGGGCGCCGTGGAGTCCGAATGGCATCACCTTGAACTGGAAGAGTCCAAAGGGGGTTGCGAAGGCGGTTCGGGATCGTGATTGTTCTTCAACCGGGACCTGCCAATACCCACGGGCCAGATCTAGGGTGGTTATGTACTTGGCCTTGCCAAGGGTATCGATCATGTCGTCCACGCGCGGCATTGGGTAAGCGTCGGCGTCGGAAATGGAGTTGAGACGTCTGTAATCCACGCACATGCGGAGTGAGCCGTCCTTCTTTCTTAACGAGGACGATCGGAAAGGCCCACTCGCTAGACGAACGCTCGATAATCCCGTCCTTCTCCATTTCTTCTAGCTCCTTCTTGACGATGTCGCGGTAGGCGTGCGGTAGTCGGTAAGGGGGGAGTCGGATGGGGGATGCGGTCCCAGTTCGGATGCAGCATTCTGTGATCTGTGTCCTACCCGGGCGACTGCTTTGGACATCCGCAAATTCTTGGAGTATCCAGCCCAGCTCCGTTCGTTGGGCAGGGGATAAGTTGCTACATATTACTGGCTGTTCTCCGTCCGCTGCTCCGGAACCGTCCCAGAGTACCACGTCGTCCGGGTCGTCCGGTCCTTCTCCTAGGACTTCCTCTGCGAGGAACGAGGCAGCGCTGGGGGAATGCCATTCTCGCAGCATGTTGACGTGGAAGATACGGTTCCTCCTTCGGCCGTCAGTCAGTTTGACCTCATAGTTCACGTCGCCGACTTTCCTGACAACTGGATACGGGCCCCGCCACTCTGCTAGGAGCTTATTGTTGCTGGTGGGGAGAAGAATGAGCACTTGGTCCCCTGGGTTGAACTCACGGTGGCGGGCGTTGCGGTCGTACCACTGCTTCTGGGTTTCTTGGGCATTGTTGAGGTTTTCGTGAACGATGTCACGGAGTGTTTCCAGTCGCTCCTGTACCATCAAAACATACGAGACCACGCTCTCCGGGCTCCTCGTACTCGCCTCCCAAGATTCCTTTACTATGTCGAGGGGGCCCCGGACGTTTCGGCCATACACTAGCTCAAACGGGGAAAAGCCGGTTGAGGCTTGGGGCACTTCCCTGTACGCAAAGAGAAGGTAGGGCAGGAGCCTGTCCCAGTCCTTGCCTTCTTCGGCCACGGTTTTCTTCAACATCGCCTTCAGCGTACCGTTGAATCGTTCCACCAGGCCGTCTGTTTGGGGGTGATAAGGCGTCGTCCTGATCGGCTTTATGTGCAGCAGTCGGTAGACCTCTCTCAGTAGCTGTGAGGTAAAGTTAGTACCTTGGTCTGTTAATATCTCCTCTGGTACTCCGACCCTGGCAAAGAATGCTAGTAACTCCTCTGCGACTGCGTTGGCATCTATGGTGCGGAGGGCGACGGCCTCTGGGTAGCGGGTGGCGTAGTCGCAGATAACTAGGATGTACTTCTTTCCCGAACTGCTGCGAGGTAGCGGTCCAACAATATCCATGGCGATCCTCCTGAACGGCTCGTCCATTATTGGTAGGGGTACTAAGGGTGCCTTCTTCACCCTACGTGTCGACGATTTCTGACACTGACCACAACTCCTGCAATGTTCCTGTACGTCGTGGTACACTCCGGGCCAATAAAATCGGTCTAGAATTCGATCGGC